AATTGTGGGGGAGGAGGAGGCGGAGGAGGAGGAGGAGGAGGAGGAGGAGGAGGAGGAGGAGAAAGATGCGGATGATGAGAACGTGCCATGAGGAGGATGAGGAGGCGGAGGACGAGGAGGATGTGGAATGACGAGGAGGAGGACGAGGACGAGGATGGGGTGGAGGAGGAGGATGCGGGAGATGCGAAGGATGCTGGGGATGATGATTAGCTGATGATGATGATGATGATGATGATGATGATGATGATGATGATGATGATGATGATGATGATGATGCTGATGATGATGATGATGATGATGATGATAATGCTGCTGATGATGCTGATGATGCTGATGATGATGATGACAATGGCGATGCCGCTAATGCTGATAATGATGATGCTGATGATGTTGATGATGACGATGATGATGATGATGATGATGATGATGATGATGATGATGATGATGATGATGACGATGATGATGATGATGATGCTGTTGCTGATGATGAGGATGATGTTGCGGATGCTGACGATGCTGATGATGCTGACGATGCTGATGATGCTGTTGTCGATGATGATGTTTCTGATGCTGATGCTCATGATGCTGGAGATGATGCTGCTGCTGATGATGCGGATGTTGATGCTGATGCTGATGCTGATGACGATGATGATGATGATGAGGAGGAGGAGGAGGAGGAGGAGGCGGATGCAGAGGAGGAACCTGAGGAGGAGGGATATGAGGATCCTGGAGCTCGGTGGAATGCAGAGGATGTTGACGATGCTGATGCTGATGCTGATGCTGATGCTGATGCTGATGCTGATGCTGATGCTGATGATGATGCTGATGCTGATGCTGATGCTGATGATGATGATGATGATGATGATGATGATGATGATGATGATGATGATGATGCTGATGCTGAGGATGATGATGCTGATGATGATGATGATGATGATGAGGAGGAGGAGGAGGAGGATGGGGAGGAGGAGGAGGCGGCGGACGCGGAGGCGGATGAGGCGGAGGAGGAGGAGGAGGCGGGGGCGGATGAGGATGAGGAAGATGAGGAGGAGGAGGAGGAAGAGGTCGAGGAGGAGTAGGATGAGGTGATGATGCCGATGCTGATGATACGGATGCTTGTGCTGCAGCTGATGATGAGGTTGATGATGGTGATGGTGCTGATGATGATGATGATGATGATGATGATGATGATGATGATGATGATGCTGATGATGATGATGATGATGATGATGATGATGATGATGCTAATGCTGCGTTTGATGATGATTCTGGTGATGATGACGGTTATGTCGATGAGGATGTTGAGGATGTTGATGCTGATGCTGCTGTTTATGCTGATGCTGCTGCTGCTGATGATGCCGCGGATGCTGATGAGGCTGCTGCTGCTGATGATGATGATGCTGATGCTGATGATGACGATGATGCTGATGCTGATGCTGATGATGCTGAGGCTGATGCTGATGCTGATGCTGATGATGATGCCGCTGATGCTGCTGCTCATGACGACGATATTGATGCTGCTGATGATGACCACGATGCCGATGTTACTGCTGATGATGAAGTCGTTGATGATGATTGTGATGCTGCTGCTTCTGCTGCTGCTGCTGCTGATGATGGGGACGATGCTGATGCGGATGCTGATGCCGCTGAGGCTGCTGATGTTGATGGTGATGGTTATGGTGATGGTGGTGGTGATGATGCTGATGCTGATGATGCTGCTGATGCGGATGACGATGACGATCACGATGATGATGATGATTGTGATGGTGATGCTGATGTTGCTGCTGCTGCTGATGATGATGATGCTGAGGATGATGATGCTGATGCTGATGATGCTGATGCTGATGATGATGATGCTGATGCTCATTATGATGATGATGCTGATGATGATGATGATGATGATGATGATGATGCTGCTGTTGCTGCTGCTGATGATGCTGCTGATGATGACGATGACGATGACGATGACGATGATGATGATGATGATGATGATGATGATGATGATGATGATGACGATGATGATAATGATGATGATGAAGATGAGGATGATGATGATGATGATGCTGATGATGATGCTGATAATGATGATGCTGATGATGATGATGATGATGATGATGATGATGCTGATGATGATGATGATGATGATGATGATGATGATGATGATGTTGATGCTGCTGCTGACGATGATGCTGATGCTGATGCTGGTGCCGATGCGCATGCGGCTGATGATGATGCTGATGATGATGATGATGATGATGATGATGATGATGATGATGATGATGATGATGATGAGGATGAGGATGAGGATGAGGATGAGGATGAGGATGAGGATGAGGAGAGGATGATGAGGATGATGATGAGGAGATGATGACGATGAGGATGGGGGAGGAGGAGGAGGAGGAGGAGGAGGAGGAGGAGGAGGAGGAGGGAGGAGGAGGAGAGGAGGAGGAGGAGGAGGAGGAGGGGAGGGGGAGGAGGAGGCGGAGGAGGAGGAAGATGAGGAGGAACAGGAGGAGGAGGAGGGGAGGAGGAGGAGGGGGAGGAGGAGAGGGAGGAGGAGGCGGAGGAGGAGGAGGAGGAGGAGAGGAGGAGGAGGATGAGGAGGGGGAGGAGGATGAGGATGAGAGGGGAGGAGAAGGAGGGGGGGGATGGAGGATGAGGGAGGGGGGGAGGAGGAGGAGGAGGAGGAGGAGGAGGAGGAGGAGGAGGAGGAGGAGGAGGAGGAGGAGGAGGAGGAGGAGGAGGCAGGAGGAGGAGGAGGAGGAGGAGGAGGAGGCGGATGAGGAGGGGGGGCAGGGGAGAGCAGGAGAGGAGCAGGAGCAGGAGGGAGGAGCAGGAGGAGGAGGAGGAGGAGAGAGGAGCAGGCGCAGGAGCAGGAGCAGGAGCCGGAGCAGGAGCAGGAAGGAGGAGGAGGAGGGAGGGGAGGAGGAGGAGGAGGAGCAGGAGGAGGAGGAGGAGGAGGAGGAGGAGGAGGAGGAGGAGGAAGAGGATGATGAGGGGGAGGAGGAGGCGGAGGAGGGATGAGGAGGAGCAGGAGGATGAGAGAGAGGAACCGGGTTAGGAGCAGCAGGAGGAGGAATATGATGAGGATGAGGAGGAGGATGGCGATGCTGAGGAGGAGGAGGAGGAGGAGGAGGAGGAGGAGGAGGAGGAGGAGGAGGAGGAGGAGGAGGAGAGAGGATTAGGACATGGCGGACGAGGAGGACGAGGACCAGAGGATAAGGAGCATGAGGAGGTATCACCGAGGAAGATGCCGAAGACGAAGAAATAGTGGTGGCGACGGTGGCAGCGGTAGCGATGACTTGACCTTTGCAATCCGCAGCCATACCGCAGGTGCGTGATGATCGGCACCCTCACTGCTGGACAATTCGGCGTGTTTGACATCGTCTTGAACATGGTCGGCGCCAAGAAGTTCCACTTCCACGACCCCGCCGCACACTGAGGCCCTCTTTTTCTTCATCTTATGTGTCTTCTTGTGCTGCTTTTTATTCTTCTTCTGATCATTACTCCTCTTCTCACTCTTATTATTCCTCCTCCAGCCCCGCAGTCGTGACGTTTGGGATGAAACAACAATCTCCTCGGGTCCCATATGCGAAACCTCCTCTGGTTATGGAGGAGAGAAGGGTGAGGAATTGAAGCGGCAGGAGGAGGGAGAGGACGAGGGGGTGACAGTAACTCGCTCTGCCTCCTGCTCCAAGCTCGAAAAGGAGGTGGATGAGGAGGAGGAAGAGGAGGAGGAGAAGGAGGAGGAGGAGTCCTGAGCCATTTGGGCTCAAGCTATTTTAGCTCAAGCCATTTTGCCGCAAGGCCGTTGGCAGGACCTCGAGCCCCGTCTCGAGGTTCTGCTGGAGTAGGAAGGCACCGCAGCCTCGCTCCAGGCAGCTGACTTCCCCGTCGTTGAGGCACTTTTGACTACTTTTCGGGCCGCCAGTCTCGTTCAAGTACCTGCCTCCAGCAAGACGTGCATGTCAGACGCATGGCAATGCAAGAAGTGCTCTCGCCAAGTTGCTTATCGACGCTGGCAGTGCTTGTGTGGTTGCACGTGGCGATCAACATCGGCCAAGTGGGGTCGGAGGAGAAGTCAGTCGAGAGGGCGCTCGTCAACGTGGCAGCCGCAACCCGCATCTACGCCGACCACTTCGCTCCCCAATCGCCCTCGTCCAGTGAAGAGGCGAAAGGACCCGATCACCACCCTGGAGATCAGGCACCTGGTCGAGGGGGCGCCTCCAGCATCTCGCCAGATTGCCGACGCTCGTCCCAAATTTCTCAAGCCACCGAGTGCGCCAGCTCAGCAGCAACCGTTCAAGACGGATATGGCTCATCATATGCAATTGTTGGCGACCTTGATATTGGCTATTCGCGGGAGTGGCGCAGACTCTTTGCAGGCGCTCTCAGCGCGCAAATACGCGGTGGCCAGTTTGGAACCTATCGGGGCGAGGGTCAAGGCCATGGCCCTTGCAGTAGAGAGCGCGAAACTCGAGATCACCAGAGTCGAGGAGAGGATCGAGAAGGCCATCAGTCAGCGGGGGAACTTGATGCATCCGTTGCAGGGGGTGGGCGAGACTGTAGTGGCACTACATGCCCAGGGGAGGGGGGAGACGGATGCCATAATCCTGGAGGCAGCTGCCCAAAGGGCGCCCCTCCCCCGCCGCCGAGTTCCATGTCTCATCATCCGAGCGGGGCTGCGCCGAGGCAGCCAGCTTCGAGCGGGACCTCGCAACCGCAGTTGGCGGCCACCTCCCCCTTCATGCCGATGATGACAGGCCAGATTTCCAATTGCACAGTTGTGCCCCGATGTAGCTTTCACCCGCTGGCGTGCAGAACATGCTGTCTTTCGTCGTGCAGCGACAGATGCAGCAGCAGATGCAGCAGCAGACGGTGTCCAAGGGCCAGGGGGGGGGGCGCCTCGCCAGTGCCTTGGTTGGCAGCAGGCGCCCCAGGCGCACAGATGCCGCATCGCCCGGGCCAGAGCCCGACGCCAATGAGAGGGGGGGGCAATTCGCTCCAGACGCCGCGGGCAAAGCATCGGGCGATCCCCTCCCAGGCCGATGCCATGAGCGCTGCAGGCTTCAGTGGACTTCGCATGGGGGCGACGCAGGTGCCGCCAAACAGCGGGGCGCTGGCGCCTGGGACTTTTGGCGCCCCGGGCGAATGTGACACTCTTGCCGCCGTGCGAGATTGCCGGGGGGGAGCCAGCGAGCGCGGATGCATACGAGCGTGGTGGAGTATTCGGCCCAACCCAGACGTGGGGGGACAGCCCAGCCAGGGGGGTGATAGCGACGCAAATGATGGCGCCGACCCAACCGATGTCTTCGCAGCCGGAACTTGCACCTGGGCCTGCCTCGTCTGTCACGGGGCATTCGGGCGCGGAGCTATGATGGCAGTCGAGTAAGCCAGCGCCAGATGCGCAACAGCGCCGAGGCATCAAGGGGGAGCCAGAAGCCAGCTCTTTTTCATGCGCAGTGCCAGTTTCCAGTTTCACACGCGCCGACCGTGGGTATAAGGTCAGCGACAACACTATTCTTCCGCCGCTTGCTGGCAGCCTAATCATCAGCACTCTGAAGGACGCAGTGGCAAGGGCAGCAGTTTTCCCGATGGGCCAAGGTGTCTTATGTTTCCCCCCTGAGTGGAAGAGGGGGCCTTTCAAAGTGCACTGGGGGTTTTTCGAAAATTCGATAGTTCGACCAAAACAATGACTTGGGTTAGAGCAGCCTTGATGAAGTGCAGTGTAGGACCCTGGCCCGAGAGCGGGATAATTCGAGTGGCGAGTCGGCCCCCCCGGGGCTCTGCGTGCAGCTCTTCCCCCTCGTCGTCGTTTGGAGGCCCTGGGGCCGCGGCCCCTGAGACCGACTTCGAGTCTGGCGGTGGCCCCCCCCCCCCCCCCCCATCGCGGCCCTCCTCTGAGCCTGGTCAGGATGAGCGCATCGGGGAAAGTCCCGCCCATCGTAACGTGTGTCTTGAAGACGGAATAGCATCTCGGTCGGCAGGCGGCCTGTCATTCCAAGCTGGTCAACCTAGCAGCAGAGTGATAGCGTGCCGGTTTGGTGCTTGCATGCCCCTCGAGCGGATTCTCGCCAACCGCCCCCCTCTCGTGCTTGAAATCATTGAAGGAGCTGCGTTGCAGCAAGCAGGTCGCCCTGAGGACGTCCCCCGTATCGCCTACACCTTGGCCCCCCCCGGGCCCGTCGCCCCTCTTGCCTTCCACTTGTATAGCGATGGGTCGCAGTGTGCCAGAGGCGACCCTTGCGGAACATGGGCATTCATTGTTGTTGCGCAGAATCTGGATGGCTTTTCGGTACGGGGAACGCGGAGGGGGAAATTTGAGGATGCGACATGCACGAAACTCAGTGCAGTTCGGAGATGGCGACGAGGACGACGCGTGAGTTGCTTGCATTGATGTGGATGGGATTTTGGATCCTCACCTCGCCTTTCGATGTGGAAGATCATGTGGCCAGCGACTCGCTCTGCAGCATTCGAGCAGCGAGTGGGGCGCAGGTGCCCAAGTCGGACGCTGTGCTGGCCGAACTCACTAGAGTAGCGTGGCATTTGGCCACGCTGCGCAATGTCACCTTGGACCGCGAGAAGGTTCACCATGGGCGCCGTTGGAACTCACCTGCGGATGACCTTGCTAAAGCGACGGTGCGAGACTTGATTGCCGTTTCCTTTGGTTTCCCCCGTGAGTGGGTCTATGTTGTGCAGACGGCTCCCGCTCGAGAAGGAAGGCGGTTGCCCGGGGGCGAGTATAGGCCCGCCCAGATGGCCGAGCTTATCCGCGCGTGAGCCTGTCGGATCAGGGAAGCCTACTGTCGGGGCCCATGCGCTCGGTTAACTGTGACCACCTCGAAGTTGACCCGCCCATGCCCCCCGCTGCGAAGGGCATTGAGATTTCGCTGCGAATGGTATCCCATAATGCCCAGGCAATGCGTGCTGATGCTAGGAAGGGGTTCTAAGAGACAAGTCGAGCGGCGAGACAACTCTTGTTTCGCTTGCAACTTGCCGCCAATGGAGTTTCCCATGGCTGGGGTCCAGGAGGGGGGGGGGGCTCAAGGGGTGCGACGCCAGGGGGGGTTCGTCGTTTATTCGGCGGGGCGCGAGATGTTCAACCTTGGGGCCCGGCTGTGGATTAACATCGTGCCCCCCTTTGTCAAGCAGGGAAAAGCCCTTCACTTTTCGAAGACGACGGGTTCATATTCTTCACTAAGAGCCTCGTATCATGATTGCTAAGTTATCTGCGCAGGGCCTGACCCCCGTCGTCCTTGTGGCCCGCGCCCCCCGCGCCAGAATGCCAGTTGCTACTAGGTTGGAGTTCTGGGGGCAGTGATCTTCAGTCGCTTCTCGATGGCCGCCAGATTGTGGGATTTCTGGGCGCCCATGGCAGAGTTAGCAATCGCACTTCCCCCGCCGTAGCGAGCGTGGGCTCTGCGACGGCGGGGGCCAGCAACGGTGAGCAGTTGCGTCGATGGATGCTGGGGGCTCGTGTCGGCGCGACCAGCGTTATTAAAGTTTCATAAGATGGGGGCGCGCATTTCTCCAGGAAAAGGGGGGCGGCCCAAGGATTGATGATGCGATGGCCTCTACCCCGTTGCTTTCTCGCCTCCAGGATGCTGGGGCCCTCCATTGCTATGGGCATCTCAGGGGACATTGTGACCATCATCCCGCGTTCGCTTCGAGTGTAATCGCAGTTGGAACGGCATGGGGGGGGGGGGGGCGTGGTCCCAGAACCGACCGCCGCAAAATGAACGGCCCCACTGCTAGTGAGCAGCTTGCGCGTTGTCTGAATCTTGCCCCCCCCCCCCCCCCCTGTGATTGTGACCCGGGTGTTCATTATGCGCAAGTCGCGCGAGCCTTCCGCGAAGCCTCCTCTAGACAAGCCTTCGGTGAGGGGCGCGTCCGACCCGGGAAACCATGGATTTTCCCGCCTACGTTTACTTGGCTACGAGTTAGAAGAGCCATCCGAAAGGCCCTACATCATTCGAGAAAGGGGGCGCGCCAAATTTCCATGGGCGCGCCGGGCACCCAGTCGAATGAGAGTGAAGGGGCCCGAATGGGGATCGCCGGCCCTGCCGTCGGACGCAATTTTTACCTTGCCGTCAGCATTTCCACGGGCGATTTGAACACTGAGATCAGGCTCTCGGAATTGGCGACCCGCAATCTCCTCACCTCGTTTCCGTTGTCTCACTATTGGGGGCCCATCGTCAGGAACTCGAGGGATTTCATATATCATAGCATTGATGTTCATGAATTTAGATTGAGCCTGGTTTCGTTCATCGCTATGTCCAAGGACCCTTTGCAGATGGTCCTGGACGGTGACTCCTCCGCCTTTCTTCTCTCGCAAGTCCGCCCGTTGTGCGCTGGGTGGGCGCGCCCCTCTGAGGGAATGGGCGCATTTGGAGACCATTCTCGCTTTCGGAGGGCGACGACATGCTTTCCCCGATGGGGTCG